CCTCTTGCCACAGATGTAGTCAGTCTGATTCCTGTGTGTTCCATCTGGTGAAGTCCACGTGTACAGCCAGTTTGTGTTGTTGAAAAAGGTGTTTGCAATGAACAAGTCATTGGTCTTGCAAAATTCTACCATGCGAGTTCCATGGTAGAGTGGAGGGTCAGTGAAAAGGGGGAAGACCCTCAATGAGACAGATTGATGCAGTGTCTCCAGGGATGGGTTCAAGCATGGTGTGGTGAATTGCTTGATGTGGCCCTTCTAGCTATTGTCCTCCATTCTGTGATGTGTTGTAAATCCTATTATCCATGCATGTTTGGGGTGGTGTGGTAGTTAAGGTCGGGTATGAACTTGTCTGGGCAGCTGGTAGTAGTCGTTCCCTTTAATGACTGGCATTTGGCTCTGTGATGGAATTTGTTTTGAGCTGCTGATTGTTAAAGCCATCCACTTGGGTTATTTCTGTTGGAGCAACACAGTGGAATGTATCTTGAGTCCTGCCTTGCTGGAGGGTATAATTCAAATCACCACCCTTAGCTTCCTGGAGGGTATACCTATGAATCTCCTGGGAAGGTTCGCCCTCCTCTTGCTCCGGTTTTGTGTTTTGGCTCATCCTCATTTTACCCCTGGACTTGGGACAGCAGCCATCATCTGATCTGCTGATCGAGGTTCATCAAACCCCTAGAATTGGGAGGATCCTCCAGACCCACTCACGGACCTGGGACTTGCCAGCCTACCAGCCTCCACCATGACTATGTGAGATGAACCCTTGGGTGTCTGTGAGTTCTGTGAGGTGTTACAGCAAAATACAGAACCCTAAGACAGGGAAAATTACTGGGAGGAGGGAGGAGTTAATGTCTGAAATGATGGAGTGGCATGGTAATTTGGGCATTTGGGACATCTTTAACCTCCGCCTCATGGGGACCAGCCTTGTGTTGATCTTTCTGAGAGAAATTGTTCAAGCACATGGCAACTATTGTCAGGATGGCACAGGACAGGGCAGTGTTTTGTTCTTTTATACATAGGGTCACTATGAATCAGAACCAACTCAATAGCACCTAATAGCAACAATAAGATTTGTAATAAATTATAATTACAATCAAGCATCATGGAGAAATATCATTACCATCATACTGAGTATTACCTCAAAGACTTTTCCAGTTTTCCAGTTTTTCGTTGAATTTAACTTCCCTTCAAGAGATTCCTATCCTCCTAAGTAGACATTAGTATATATGAAAGGGCAAGGAGGTGACATCTTCTGATCTCCTCTAACTACACAAAAGGAAAACAGAATCACCATCAGCAGCCCAAGGCCTGTTCTTTTTTATGAAGCCAGACATGCTGCCACCCTCCTACTAACCTTAACACCAACTGTTCCTCCCGTGGCACCCACCACCTCTCTGCTGGGTTTGATAATTCAGTGTTGTGGCCACAAAGAACTCACACATTATGGGGTTTATTAGGAAAGCAACAGGCTACAATTCAAGTTCAGGAATGTGCTCAGTCTCTCTCAGCTGGCTGTCTCTCTCTCAGCCAGCAGTCTCTCTCAGTCTTTCTCAGTAGCACATTTCTCTCTCAGCAGTGTGTGTCTTTCGTGTCGCTCACTCAGCAGTATAAAAGCACCATGTGTTCAGTTTCATTGTTTCCATTCAGTTAATTCAGACAACAGTTACTTAGGGTTTTCACTACACTTGCAGATAGGCAGCAGGAGACTAATTGGATTTCTTCAAAGCTGTTGGATTTGGCTGATAGAGACTTGGGGCGAACCTTCCTACTTGCATGGACTCTGTAATCCATTCCTTCTTCAGTGTCAGACATGTTGGTCAAACGCAGTAAATACAGCTTCCTCCTATTTGTCAGACCTTCAGCTACAAACAAATAGAAAGGAAATGCAGTAAGATACTAAGTTAATTTGATTTAAATGTAGATTAATGGACTGAAAAAAAAAAAAAGGCAAAGAACTTTCCCACGATTTTTCTGTAGGTGCCTCAAGTTATAAAGAGCCAAAGAGAATTGTTTATCTTTAAACTATCACTTTCCAGTCTCCTGAGCATACAAAGGTCACTTACATGGAGGTTGCTCTCTAAGTAGCATGAGAAAAACCATAGTAAATGTATAGTATTTTAATGTGTATCAGTCTGTACTCTTACCATACTCTTTTCATAGAATGAAGTCTTTTGGGAACACTTTCTCTTTAAATCCCTCAAAATATCTTACAAGGGCTTGGGGCTGAGTCCAGAGGGGCAGTGGGAGGACTTCAGTTCCTTTGTGTGCTTCCATAGCAACCATCCCCAGCCTCAACAGAACCCTTCCTGGGACCTCATGGTATGGGGTCTACTTAATCCTTTTTTTTTTAATGCATTTTTTTTGAAATATAATTTATGAACAGTGAAATACACAAAACTAAAGTGACATGGGTCAATGCATTTTTTTTTTCAGTGTTCCCGCCCCTTCCGTCTCACCCCTGGCAACCAACAAAGAAAGTTTCCCTACATATATAAACCTTTCCTTGACCCTCCATGACAACGAACTATATTTGTCCTCCTGTGATCCAATCCAACTCATAGCGACCCCTCCTTGGGTTTCCGAGGCAGTATCATTACAGAAGTAGATTTCCCAATGTTCCTTCCGGGGAGTGGCTGGTGGGTTTGAACCGTCAGCCTTCTGGTTAGCAGTCAGATCCTTCAGGCACTATGCTACCAGAGCTCCCT